GAGAGGGGTTCTGAGCTGCAGGCAGTTGGGATGCCAGGGCGGTTCTAGGTGCAGGCTCTGGGAGGGTGTTTGGATGCAGGGGTGCTTGGGGTGCAGGAGGAGGTTCATGACTGGGGTGGGTTTCAGGGAGCTGGCTCCAGCTGGGCGCTGCTGACCTCAGGTAGCTCCTGGGGGGTGGTGCAGTGGGGCTAAGCAGGCTCGCTCCTGCCCTGACTCTGCACCATTCCCAAAAGCAGACGGCAAACTCCCTCCATCCCAAACCCTGTTGTGCCCCCCTCCATTCTGTGGAGACAGAATACAGGATGGGAGAGGGGCACCCTGACCTCAGTGCCCCCTCCTCTCCCTTCCCTGTTCTGCACAGCAAGCGGGAGGCTCTTGGGGGGACGCTCCAAGGCAAAGGGCAGGAGCTGCGCAGCAATGGAGGGGAGGGGCAGTTAAAGTGCTGGCACTTGACAGCCTCTTGGCCAAACCAGTCAGGATCCCCTGTCAGGGGCTCCAAGGTCTACCAGTCGATCCCGATCTACTGGCTGGTGACCACTGGCTTACAGGCTGAGAAGGGGAATTCTATGCCTGGCATTTACAGTTTTATCAGGCCCTTAACTGTAGGGTGACCGAATGGCCCAATAAGATGAGCTTTTGTCAAATATATACAACTCTAATCCCCACCCCCAAATATCCCAAATTGGACTGGGCTAGATGGACCTTTGGTCTGACGCAATATGTTTGTTATTGTCTTAAATTTACATACTTGCTATTTGGTCACCCTACCCAATTGTGAACTTTTTCATTGAAAAAACTTATTACCATAGATCTAGTTAAATAAGTACTTAAACAAAGCAGACATCAGTTGTCAGTTGTGGTAAGTGGCGACGTGTCTGTTAGCTTCAGGAGGGATGTGATCCATTGGTGTTGCACCTGGAGATTAAAGCAGAGACAGTAAGCACCACTGAATGTGTTAAGTCCTGTCTCTCACCCATTATCTGGATCATTAGCTCTATGATGACCTTCTTCCGATGGGCTGAGGGGGGGAGGTAACCTTCATGTACTTGTCTTTGCCATAGACATAGATGTGTCTGTTCCAGACTTGAAATTTAGAATAGGGGTTCTTAACCGAATAGCATACCTTGTCTCCGAAATTCTTACCCTACAGTGGCATGTCCATCTCCTGTCAAACATGATGATCAAGCACCAGCTTTTCTCCTTCCACCGGCTCCTTCCTTGGGAGAGGAGAAAGGGCGAGAGGATATCTGGGTAAGCTTCACCATAAACCCACATAGGAATTAATTACACCACAATTAGCGAGGTGACCGAAACCCGCCCTGTACAAATAGTTATTCAGTTCCGAAGAACCGAGGCAGGCTCGGAATTCATTAGCTCCCCAGAAAATTACTTTCACTCCTTTCTCACTGCCGCTGACTCAGCCTCGCCTTTGCCTCCCCCAGGTTTATTTATTTCTCTCTCCATCCAGAGCGATTAAAAAACCCCACCTCCCTGCCTGGCTGCCTGAGGTATCATCTAATTGGACAGCCAGGCTGAGAGAACTGACTTGTTTGTTTTGAACTTGAGGGAAGCAGTTGCTTTATTAACACAACAATGCTCTTCGCCTTCAAAGCCTTTTTACAAAACTAACTAAACCTTTCACCCGTCTCAGAAAGCTGCCGGCAAGCACCGCACAATTTGTTTCACAACCCTTCCACGCACAAGCAACGCCTCACGCTCCCCTTGAGACCTGGTGCACCTTCATATTTCAAATGTAAATAGAGCCGGGAAACTCATCTCTACGTCTTCCTGCTAAATCAGGGGCACCAGAGCTGTATTATGACTTTCGTGGGCCCTACGCACTTTTGCATTCGTGGGCCCCTTCCTCCATAAAAAAAATTAAAAATTCTTTTTATATAACTTTAAATACTTCAACATTTTATGTTTTTTCTGTTAGGCAAAATTTAATAAATTTGCGTGGGCCCTAAAGGGGTGATGGGGGGAGAGGGAAGGAGGCCTCAGTAGACAGTAAGACTACATTTAGACTACAAGTCTCTTTCGAAAGAGAGCGTCTAGACTGCAACCACTTCTTTCGAAAAAGCGAGCCAGGCAGGCTCAATGCTCTCTTTCAAAGAAGCCCTGTTTGCGTTCAAGAACACCTTTTTTTCAAAAGACCACTTAAAAAAAAGGTGTTCTTCCTCGTAAAACGAGGTTTACCGTGATCCAAAAAACTGCCGCGTTCTTTTGATTTACGTTCAAAAGAACGTGGCTACAGTCTAGATGCAGGTGCCATTTTTTTTGAAAAATCGCTACGTTTTCCAAGAGCAAGTATCATCTTCATGCCGCGACTCTAGTTGCTGTTTAGTTTTCCGTCTGGAAAATCCCACCAATCTATGCAGACTCAGGAGACTTTCTCTTGATTTCTCATCCGGACGAGTTGTGTGTCTCAGTTTGTACAGCTCTTAAGAACCATGCTGCTTTTGTTTTAGGCGAAGTGAAAATATGTGTGGCTGTGCATTGTACTGTGGCTGCTCTCTGCTGATTGTTATGTAGCCACCATCGGGCGGATTTGAACCTGGGCCCTTTGGAGCTTAGTGTAGGAGGTCCCTTGGGGCTTCTGGAGCTGAGTGTAGGAGCCTCTATTGCTTGAGTGAAAAGCCAGCTGCCTCTCAGCGTAGGTTGTAGAGCTTCCTTGTTCATATCGCTCGCTGAAACTGGTCTGTGCCACTACATGGGTCAGTGAACCACACTAGGGGTATGGGTTACATTAGGCTGCATCACAAGGGTCTGTATTCATAACTTGCATGTCATAAGGCTGTTAAATAGTGAGTAAATGACTAATCGTGTACTTGATACAACTGGACCGCTGCAACCTCTGCCTCCTCTGTCCCCCCCCCCACCACCACAGTGGAGATGGTCCTGGGGGGGGAACCGGCTTTTAAACCGGCTCCTCCCACCATTGGCTCCTGCTCCCTCACCCCTGCCTCTGATACAGTTTAAGCAGCAACGGGGGTGGGGGAGGAAGGAGGAAGGGAATGCAAATAGTTGATTCAACCACCCGATAAGCATAGGCTTATGGGTAATTGACTAATGGACTACTCTTCTACATCCCAAACATGTCAGAGTGCTTTCCTTAGTGACGTGCACTGTTTCGAAAGGTAGTGAAAGTGTTAGACACCTGAAAGTGAATCAAAGTGAAACTGAAATACTTTAAATTGGCCATTCCGAATGGGATTGCCGATTCATTTTACTATTTGAAGCCAGAAATGTGGCTTCAAATCCCATACACGTCCAGTATGGTTGAGCAAAGTGGCTTTCTGCTAGTCCATCGTGCAAGCCCACTAATCAATTTGGCAGAAGTTCTGTCTTAATGCGGTAGACACCTAGGACTAAAAATGATAGGTACTTTTCAGAGCAACGTAGGTAACATCCTATCTATCTCTGGCTCTAGCTACTCCTGGGGCACTAACCTTATACAGTAATTATGCTTTATGTATAATTATAGTAAAAAGATTCTACTTGCTTCAGTTCTGATTGTAACAAAGGGCAGTGGCTTAATATTTAGTAGTACAAACAAGTGGATTTATTGCAAGGCTGTCAGTGTGAGGAAAGAGAAATTGCCATCCTTTTAATTAAAGAAAGAAAACTGCTGGTAATGTCATGACCTGCTCCAAAACAGCCTGCCACTTCCTGTTAAATGCATATTAGTTCTACCCAAGGACATCTGGTAGGGTGAACAAAATGTAGTTGTTAGAGCGGGAAAGATGTGACTTTGCTACTGCGCTCCAGCGATACTAACCTGTCTCACTATAAAGTTCTCTGAGTTTCATTGACAGATTCTCTGCACAGGGAGAGTATTGGTAAAACTGGCATGTAAGTATCACTTTGGGATGGAAGCAGAATGTGAGTTTAGCGAGGTCTGTTCCTAAGTAGCAAGAGAGCAGAAAAACTAAACTAATATACAGAAGGAGAAACCAGAAAGATCCTGCCTTGAAAATTTAACTGATCTAGGTCTGGAAACAGCTGATGTAGAGAACTTGTATCCGAAGCTTGCTCATTGACAACAGCCATTCATCTAACTGGGTCATTCTCTTTTAGCACTAAGACGATCCTTACCCAAGGCTAAAAATAAAACTATAGAGCCAGTTGGTTATTACATTAATAATGAGGAGCTGAAGGAGAGGGAAATGAGGTGAGTACAACAAATTATATTTAAAATAATTTTAAGAAACACTATCAAGTGACATCTGCGTCAAATTCATTTAGTTGAAGGTTCTTAAAAAGAAAAACTACATATTTCATTTGATATTTATACATCAGTTATACTGCTCTGGGCTTACTGTCTCCAGCAACCAAAAATAAATAGTGTCAATGTATCCAAAGCTTGCAACTTGGTAGAAGAAGCTGTTCTAGTTTCTTGAATGGCTCAACCAACAGTGTGCAGTTTAATCATAGAATACTAGGACTGGAAGGGACCTCGAGCGGTCATCAAGTCCAGTCCCCTGCCTTCATGGGAGGACCAAATACTGTCTAGACCATCCCTGATAGACATTTATCTAACCTACTCTTAAATATCTCCAGAGATGGGGATTCCACAACTTCCCTGGGCAATTTATTCCAGTGTTTGACTACCCTCACAGTTAGGAACTTTTTCCTAATGTCCAACCTAAACCTCCCTTGCTGCAGTTTACCTACAAAGGGTCAGATGCTGTTAAGTCAAAGGATGAATTTGAAAAGCAGTGTGCAATTTGTGGGAAACAGGTGCAAAGCTTTCGAGACTAAGGCCCGATCTATACTAAAAAGGAATGTCAAATCAAGATGCATAGCTCCAGCTATGTTAATTATGCAGCTAAGTTGACATACCTTGTTTTGAGAAGCAGGAGTTCTTGCACAAGCAGGAGTATTGGATACTGATGGGGGTACTCTCTGGGTTTGATTTAGTGAGTCTTAGCTAGACTCACTAAATCAAACTCCGGAAGATTGATATGATCAATCTTGCATTTAGTGAAGACGTGGCCTGAGGGGAATACATTGCACAACTGTGCGCTTACAGGGGCCTGTGTGAATAAGCCATAGGTTACAACTTTGTTGCATCTGGGTCATGTTAAAACAATGTTTGATCCTAACTGAGCAGATGGCACTAGCGGTATCATCACCATGGTAACAACAATGTTCCTGCTGTCTTTTCTACATTTGGACTAAGGCGTGGACAGGGGCCACCAAATGAAATTAATGGGCAGCAGGTTTAAAACAAATAAAAGGAAGTTGTTCTTCACACAGCACACAGTCGACTTGTGGAACTCCTTGCCTGAGGAGGTTGTGAAGGCTAGGACTATAACAGGGTTTAAAAGAGAACTAGATATGTTCATGGAGGTTAAGTCCATTAATGGCTATTAGCCAGGGTGGGTAAGGAATGGGGTCCCTGGCCTCTGTTTGTGTCAGAGGGTGGAGATGGATGGCAGGAGAGAGATGGCTTTATTATTACCTGCTCGATTCACTCCCCCTGGGGACCTGGCATTGGCCACTGTCCACAGACAGGACTCTGGGCTGGATGGACCTTTGGTCTGACCCAGACTGGCCGTTCTTATGTTCAACATTTCCAAGGTGGTGAAGAAATCAGATTTTGAAAAGTAACTGCACAAACCTCTCTCCACAGGGACTGTAAGGGTTTTGAAGGCTTCTGATACCAAGTCCTGCCCATGCATGGATAATCTACTCTTCATAGAAGTTACCAGGGTATGGTTTCTCCTCGACTTTTTCCTGGACGATAGCAATTGGCAGCAGGTAGGTACTATTTCAGACCAATTTTACCTGGGCTTCCCTCTGAGAATATTCCGTATGCTTTAAGGGCTTGGACTGCATCCTCCTGGATTCCCAAGCTCTGGAATTACAAGAGCTCACGTCACTCTTCAATCTACTTTGCAAAATTAAATAGCTCCAAAAGTGTGTCCAAAATTGTTATAATATTAGCTTGCCAAACTAAGTGCAATTTACCGTACCCTATAGATTTTTTTATTGTACTTCCCAGCAATGTGGTTTGTAAGAAATTCATACCTGTTGCAACAAAATACAGGACTATGTAGCTCTTTAAAGACTAACAAGATGGTTTATTAGGGGATGAGCTTTCGTGGGCCAGACCCACTTCCTCCGATCAATTTGTGGAAGAGAATTGGCACGACCATATATACCAAAGTGATACAATCAAAAAAAGTGAACACACAAAATTGACACATCAAATTTTAGAACAGAGTGCGGGTGAGGGGGGAAGATTAGTGTCTCTGAGGTAGTGACATTAGGGGTAATAATTGGGGAAGCTATCTTTGTAATGGGCGAGATATTTGGCATCTTTGTTGAGACCCATACTTTTTTGGATTGTATCACTTTGGTATATATGGTTGTGCCAATTTTCTTCCATAAATTGATCTGAGGAAGTGGGTCTGGTCCACGAAAGCTCATCACCTAATAAACCATCTTGTTAGTCTTTAAAGTGCTACATAGTCCTGTCTTTTGTTTTAGCTAGACCAGACTAACACGGCTGCATCTCTGTCACTATACCTGTTACAGTATAGAAAAGTTGTACTCCTTATATATTTGTCTGGGTTTTCTTCCCTCTTCCTCTGGAACGGGTTCCCCAAGATTGTCTGCCAGCAGCGTCCTTTGTGATGTAGGACACATCTTGTCAGAGGGAGCTAAAATCTGTCATTTTAAAAATTCACAGCTCATAAAAGCGAGACCAAGGTGCTAACTCGGCGGTGGAGAACAGCAGTCCTTAGCGCTCACATTAGCAGGTGTCCCTGAAGCACTGTAAAAACGTTAATTGTACAAAGGTGTCCAAGTCCGAAGATTTCCCTTGCCCTAACTAGAAGGTCGTTGTGCCTACTAGATAGTTTGTTGTCCACTGGTTTTCTGTGGCTGGGTGACTCCCTGTCCTGCTCCAGAGCCTAGAAGAGCCTTTGTGCACGCAGGCAGGCAGTTGTGTTACAGGCATGCGGAGCACCGAGTCCAAAGAGCGGAGGAAGCATTATAGCCGTTTGCTTCTGTAAGGGTTACCAACAAGCCACCTAGGTCTTGTCTGCTTTGGAAAAGTGGGACTAGAATTGCCTGGGAAATGGCTGTAGCGAAGTTGTAGGAGAGGGAACCAGCATGCACACGTGGGGTAACGGGGGGGGGAGAGGAGGAGTGGTGCGGTGTTGTTGCTAGAAAAGCTCTTGCTTTCACACCCACTGTTGAACATTGCTCTGTTGGGAAGGGCTTGGGAAGCAGCTGTAGGTATTTCATGGTCATCTCCAGTGCGGAGCCAGGTTGTTCTTTCATCCCTCAAACGGGAAGATATTTGCAGTGGTGTTCGCAGCCGGTAGCGATTCCTTTCCTAATGCAGACCAAGGGCAGGATGTACCCTAATTAGAGCACTGTGCGGATACCACATGTGTACCCGCCTCCACGTTGGTGTCTGCAAAAACGAACGGCAGCGATCCGCATTGACATCTGCGGATGCAGATACCCGTGGCTGAAAAGCAGAAATCCACAAATGTGCAGGGTTCTAGAACCATCGTTTGTATCCGCATCCATATCTGCAAAAACTGAGCTGCAGATATTTGCGTCCACATCCATGGATATCAAGCAGATTGCCACGGATTTTCAGGGCTCTGCCTAAACTTACCAACCCTGATCCATGTTTCATGTACCATGGATTCCGGCCAGGAAAGTGTTACTTGGGGGTTTACAGCCTGCTCCTCAGTCATCAAGCGATAACATGTTTATCCCTACTATACAGCATTTCATAACCTTAGCTGCATGGCTGCTAATTGTCATCCATGTCCAGCTAGGCTGGCTGTTTTTATGGCCTAGTGCAACAACCGGCCCTTCCTGAGGGCATTTTTCAAAGTCAGCAAAATAGCAGGACAAACCATTGTCAACAAGATAATGACTCCCGGCCCGCCGCCAGTAGGGCCAATGTGCTGTTAATCGCTTTGTTTTTTAATTAAAGACTTTGTATGTTTGTCAGAGGTGTGTTATTTTCAGAGAGAGACTCTGCTGGAGAGAATCTTTCCTGGGTGGTGCTGAGGTTATGACAGGGGCACTTTTCCTCAATACAGCACTGGCCGGACAGAGAAGCTGGCTCTTGACTAAACCCCTCGGGGGTACAGAGTCCCTCTCTCCTGCCCCCCCACCCCCACCAGTGAGCAGGTCTGAGTGGTGGGTGCGGGGGAGGGAAGAAAGTCTTGCCTCCTGTCAGGGCCATTCCTAACCAATTGGCGACCCCGGGCGACCGCCTGGATTGCCCGTAGGGTTGCCAGCTGGTTCAAAAATTTGTCAACCCCCCCCCCCCCCCCCAAAGGCGGGGCGGAGTGCAGGCCGAAATGCAGTCACACCCTGCCCCTAAGACCGGCTCTGTCGGCGGCCCCTTAAAAATGATGGCCCCCTGCGACCGCCCGCCTCGCCCGCCCCTAAGACCAGCTCTGCCTCCTGTATCTGTCCTTGACCTCACTTTGCTTGCTGCTTTGGTTTTGGCTCGCATCCAGGGATGCTTCCTTCTGAAACTGGTTTGGCAGAGAAAACAGGAGACCAGCTGCCAAGCAGCGGGTGGGGACATAACTGGGAGACATGCAAAGCAGAAGCTGAGGGGTGTTTCTCTGTCAGGATGGTAGGCAAACTGGAAAATACTTTTCTACTTCAGTCACTTTTCTGACATGACTCCCCCAATAAAATCCTGCAATAACCAAATTCCTGTCGGTTACATTAGGGTTACTATAGGGTTGTTTACTACTGGTGGAGCAGGTAGTGATGCCTATGGTTACAGTAACCTAACCACTTCTGTTCTCCCACACTTGAGTGGCTTATAATGTTGACAGACTATAGCTGCTTGGGCTATAGTCTTCCCTAGGACAGGCCTGCCTCAGAATGAATGTTAAGTTTCAGCAAAAACCAATTCAGCCATTTCCGAAAACAAGAGTAGGAAAAATTACAAGGGTTTGCCCATGTTCAAATAGTGCTTGCAACTTGTGCAGATGCTCTAGCTCAGAGGGAAAACCTGCTGCCCATCGGGGTTCTACGTGTGGCCCACACTCTAGCTCAGGGGGAAAACCTGCTGCCCATTGGGGTTCTACGTGTGGCCCAGGAGGCGTGTTGTTTCCTGTTGCCCATGTGCAGGGTTGGAGGCATTTTGTTTCCCGTTGCCCATGTGCAGGGTTGCTAGATTTTGCTGGTTTCCATCTGCGTAGCCTGGTTTCCCTGCTGGGATTACTGAAGTGACGTGTGCGTAAAGCCAGGGCGCACGAAGTGAGGTGCAGGCTGATTGGGCACAGCATGGCTTGTAAGAGCCAGGTGCTTCCTCGACATCCAATCCCAGCGCGGCTACGGTTCCATTGGTCCCTCCCCCCGGTGAATTCTAGGCATGCAAGCGTGGTGAGCAAACTACCCTCTTCCGGGGGAAGATTTTGGTCCCCACAATCTAGCGGCCAGAGGAGATGGAGGGCCACTCCCATGGCCCACTCACTAGCCTGACTTGCCCATCGCTGGTCTCGCTCTGTTCATCGGCGCAAGGACAGCGGACGGGAGGGATGTGCCCTGGGGTCAGGGATGTGCCCTATGAAAAGCCACCCAAAGGAGTCAAGCTAAAAGCCACGGCCTCATCTGTCTATCACCGGGCTGCGCTACCTTCAAACACATCCTGGGTAGAGTGACGTCTCCTGTGGATTTCCATGTTTTTAGGACACGCAGGTTTGCCCCGACCTTGCATCCTCATCGTCCTTTCCCGCTGCGTATTTGCGAAAATGCTTTTGATCTTTGCAAAAAGCCAGGTCGGTTGTGAGCAGCGACAAAGGATGAATTCCTGCCCCACAGCCGGGGAGGCAAAATGTACTTGGGAGGCAGCAAAGCAACCAGGCCTCGTGCTCCATCTTTCAAGGCGGGAGGGAGCAAATCTTTTCTGATGGAAAAGAAATGCACAGATATGGATATGGCAACACCTTGGAAAGAGGAGGCCCAGCGTGGAGTGGGCAAAGTAAATACGAGTGACCTAATTTTTTTGTTTTATTAAGGAGATGCCTATTGCTCAAAAATAAGGAGCCGTCCCATCATTAATGTTTCAAAGAGCTTTTCTAATGAGGCAGCTGAGTGCAGCCAATGTTATGCCTCAGCTGGAACAGTTTTTGTAAAGATTTTGAGCAGAGCTTTCACTACATACATTTTGCCTGCTTGGCGAGGCTCTCTGAGTTTCCTAATTTAATAAAAAGACTGAGCGTAAGACTTGGAATCTACAGGTGTAGGGATCATTACAGCCAGAGATGAAATGCATCCACAAGCCCAGAGGATCTTACATTATTTAAACAGGGTAATGATGGTAATGTGCACATGTAATAGTCACTTTCATCTTTTGCTTTCAGAGTGCTTTGCAAGTGTTAATTAAGCCTACTTGGGAAGTTGGTACATAAGAACATAAGAACGGCCGTACTGGGTCAGACCAAAGGTCCTTTTAGCCCAGTATCCTGTCTACCGACAGTGGCCAGCACCAGGTGCCCCAGAGAGGGTGGACCGAAGACAATGATCGAGCGATTTGTCTCCTGCCATCTCTCTCCAGCCTCTGAAAAACAGAGGCCAAGGACACCATTTTATCCCCTGGCTAATAGCCTTTTATGGACCTAACCTCCATGAAATTATCTAGCTTCTCTTTAAACTCTATTATAGTCCTAGCCTTCACAGCCTCCTCTGGCAAGGAGTTCCACAGGTTGACTACTCGCTGTGTGAAGAAGAACTTTCTTTTATTCGTTTTAAACCTGCTACCCATTAAATATTGTAATATGTAACAGGTAGTGGGAATGTAACCCACACACCTAGGCTATATCTACACTGGTGCGATCTTGCACCAGAGATATGCAAATGAGGCTAAGCATGGAATATCACTGAGCCGCATTTGCATATCTAATGAGCCACCATTTTTGCAGAAGAGGCTCTTGCGCTAGAAGGAGCGTCTTCACTGCCCCTTCTTGCGCAAGAAAAACCCTCTTGTGCAATGCCGTTCTTCCTGAAAATAATCAGCGTAGCGGCATTGCGCAAGAGGGCTTTTCTTGAGCAAGAAGGGGCAGTGTAGACGCTCCTTCTAGCACAAGAGCCTCTTCTGCAAAAATGGCCGCTCATTAGATATGCAAATGAGGCTTGGTGATATTCCATGCTTAGCCTCATTTGCATATATCTGGTGCAAGATCGCGCCAGTGTAGACATAGCCCTAGTGTGGGTCACTGTCCTATTTTGTGGCACTTAGACCACTTACAGCAAGAGAGGGAGCTCTACAGCCTGAGCTGAGACCCAGCTGGCTTTATAGCTTAAGCTGTCGAAGCTCCTACGTTAAGCTCCGGGGGTCCCAGGTTCAAATCTGCCTGGTGGTGGTTACATGACCTGCTTTCCAGTCCATTAGTGATTTAGGAGGTGTTAAAAAAAATCTTGTAGGGTATAATCACTTCCCTAGATCTGCTGGCAATGCTCCTTCTAATGCACCCTAACATGCCATTAGCCTTCTTGGCTATCAGGGCGCACTGCTGACTCATATCCAGCTTCTCATCCACTGTAACCCCCAGGTCCTTTTCTGCAGAACTGCTGCTTAGCTCGTCGGTCCCCAGCCTGTAACAATGCCTGGGATTCTTCCGTCCCAAGTGCAGGACTCTGCACTTGTCCTTGCTGAACCTCGTCCCTCTCCATCCTTTGCAGCACAGACGTGCAGTTCCCTCCACACAGGCTGGACTGCTGAAACCTGGCACCGGGGCTCTTTAAGAACGTGGTACAGGGGCTGGTGCAGTCTGAGTCTGGTGGCCGAGTGACAGCCCTGCCCACAGGGAGGGTACACCCACGCACTACCAACACTCTGCTGCTGGCATTCAGAGCATTGCTAGCGTGGACTGCCTACACTGCCACCTCATTAGCCCTTCCCGTTGTCTAATCATCTTCTGTAGGTCACCGGGTGATTTCCCTTTGGATTCCTAATTAAATTCTGATAGAAATGTAGCCGTGTTAGTCTGGGGCAGCTGAAGCAAAATGCAGGACAATGTAGCACTTTAAAGACTAACAAGATGGTTTATTAGATGATGAGCTTTCGTGGGCCAGACGAAAGTGGGAGTGGAAGTGGGTCTGGCCCACGAAAGCTCATCATCTAATAAACCATCTTGTTAGTCTTTAAAGTGCTACATTGTCCTGCATTTTGCTTTAATTAAATTCTGTCTCTTGAGGGCTGGGTGGCAGCCAGTTCTTCCTGCGAGATGAGACGTGAATGGAAAGACGTTGTGCCTAGCAACGGGGCATTACGTGGGAATTCGGGAAGGTGGGAGTGCAGTGGAGTCTGGGGGTGACCTTGTGACACGCAACAAGAAGATGCCAGAAAACAAAAAGCTGGAAGGACGTTTGCTCTTTCCCCACAAAACGCCAGAGCCTAGTCAGCTGGCGTGTCTGTCACACAAGCCCTAACGCTCTTTACGGACTGAAAGAAGAGCAGGGTGGGAGAGGTTAATGAAATGACAACAAGAGATCCTTAGCGGGAGAACACAGCCTAGATTTGTATAGTGCTTGTTTCTCCATATTAAAGCATTTTACCAAGATCAGCATCTTTATCCCCATTTTACAGATGGGCAAATTGAGGCACAGAGCAGGGACTTGACTTGTCCAGCGATGTTTCCTCTCATTTTTTCCCCATCCCTGTGCTGAATAAATTTTATGTGCACTAGGGCATGTGCGGATGTGCACCACCTGCAGAACACATGTTGCCGACTGTGGACGCTGTGCTAATCAGCTGGGTGGCATTTGATTCTCTCCTGGGTGGCTGCCTGCGCACTCAGCTTACAGGGAACCGTGAGTCTTAGCAACTCAGTGGCAGAACTGGGCAGAGAGCCCGGTGTCGTCAGCTGGTGTCCTGTCCGCTGGATCAAGATTCCTCTCTGTGTAACGTGAGAGGAAAATATTATCCTGGAGATAAACCACAGCACCCGGGTCGCCTAGTCTGTCTCCTGCAGCACAGACCTCTCACCGGATTTTTCACAGTCAAAAATTATCCTGGAGATAAACCACAGTACCCGGGTCGCCTAGTCTGTCTCCTGCAGCACAGACCTCTCACCTCCTACACACATGGCCCAATCCAACTCCCGACGAAACCGCTGGGAGCTTTTGCATTGACATCAGCAGGAGTTGGATCGGATGCTAAATGCTTTACTTGAGCTCTCTCTAAATCCACGTAGAGCAGCTGGCCCCAGGATCTGTGTAAGGTTTCTCTGTAATACCTGCCACGGGAGGTCGCTTCACGGTGTAACTGACCAGATGACTTGAGAGTCAACATCGGAGGGCAAGAGTTTTCTGGCATTTCCTTGGTTTTTCCTTCCTAGTTTCCAGCCATTCTTGTTCACCTACCTGTCACTATTTGAAACAATTCCGCCTCCGCTTCTGTGTTATCAACCTGGCATGTTAATAAGCCGTTCTGTTACTCACCTCGTCTTGCAGATCCGCGTCGCCAGTTGGCCCTTGAGAGCGTGAGGCAGTTAGTGAATGAAGAACATTGGCGCTGTGAGCAAAGCACCAGGCAAGACGTGTAAAAGCTTGATGGGACAGGAAGTGTCACGTGGGAGGACTGGCCATGGGGTATTAATCGCATCTCTCACTCTCTCCTTAGTCCTAAGCCAGGGAGCCGACACGGCGGGGGAGGAGGAAGAGGAGACACGGAGACGCCCTTTCCGTTCTGCCCCGGAGAGAGACCGTGTAAGCCTCAGAGACCCAAAGTGGGCGTTTTCCCCTGGACGGATGCATGCTGGGGACACGAGGAGGCAGCCTTACTACAAAACTAAGGACTGAAGATGGTGATTTATCTCCTGCTAGGAAGCAGGGCAGGATGGCTGTGAGTCCGGCATCCCAGAGCAGTGCCGGGAAGGCAATGCAGGTAGGTTGAGTGGGGGTGGCGGTTGCCTTAGACATCCTGTTGCCTTAGCTGGCTGTCTCCTGAAGCCGTGCGTCCTTGGTACCTGCCCAAATCGACAAGCAATGACGGGCCCTGTGTGCTTCGGGATCTCCCCAGGGCCTTTCCTGCGGGACAGTGGGTTGGCCGGCAGAGCGTCCGGCTTAGTGGGAGAGGCCTGGCCTGCAGGGCATGTGCCGCGGCAGACCCACCGCGCCTGAGATCGCTGGCCTGCCTGTTCTGGGCAGAGCCTGGGGGGAGGCCTCAATCGGTCTCGGCCGCCTTCTCTTTGGGTGTAGCCGTGTCGAGAGGCTGTTAGTTAAGCTGCTGTGGTAGGTTAGGGGGTGTCGGGCCACAAGACCATTGTGTGGCCTTTTTTTTTTTTCTTCTAAACTAGCAGATGTACCCAGCATTACTTGGGTCCTTCACTCAATTCAGTGTGGGTTGTTTGGGGAAAAATAAAGTGGTGGGGCGGGGGAGGAGGGGTTCAGCTGCCCCTGGTGGGGGGAGAGCACTACTCCAGCCCCCTCTCGCCGCAGCAGCTCCTGGCCAGGTGAGAAGCACCTTTCCGTGGCTGCTGCAGCTCCAGCGGGCGCAGCCAGGAGACGAGCACACGTCCAGGGTCGTCTGCCCCCCCCATGCCTCCCAGCCAGAGTGAGCAGTGCAACCAATGGTGCACATTCCCGTGTGAGAATCGCCAGCAACGTTCCCGTGCAAGCGGGGGAAGGCGCGTCAGCCCCGCTGCCCGGCCTGGCTGGGGAGAGGCTCTGGGCTGGGGTAGTTGGAGGGGGGAGGCCCCCAGCCAGCCCCTTTCACCGGCGTGGTGATTCTGCACCACCCTCCTTCTAGCGCTGCATCTGAGATGGGCTTTCTCAGCCAGTTCTGCGTCTCCCTTCACGTGTCCCACCTCTCCCTTCACTGGCTGCTTGTGTCTCTCCAGCTTCCCCCAACCCGGCTTTGGGACAGCAGCCATTCCCTGCAGCCGTCTGCCTCTGTGCACGGCCGTGTCCTTCCCTGAGGTCTGCCCGTGTCATTCCAAACGGCTCCCCACTCTTCGCTCTAACGCACCAGGGCCACGTCCTGGAGCAAGCAGCGGGCCGTGTTGAGAAGGGCCCCTGGCTTGCAGCTGTGGGAGGTTCGGAGCTCTGGATGGAAGGGGTGAGTCTCTGACGGCAGGCTCTCAGGGGCGAGGACCGGCTTCTTGTCGTGTGCTTGTCCCAGGCCTCGCTCACAGGGCACTGATCTGCCACGGGGGCCCTTCAGTGCTACCTTAACACAAATCCTCTTTGTCCCACAGCTGGTCCTGCAGTGGGATCCCTTTTCACAAGGATGGAGCCGGCGTGATCCCATGTAACCCGCTGCGATTCCCGCGCTCAGGTCGATGTTCTTCAGATCCCAGGGCCAATGCCCGGCCCTCAGCTGCCACTGTGCCCTGCCGCTGCCCGCAGCCGCCGTGCCGCTTTCAGGACAGCCCCCCAGCCTGCATCTCCACTCCCATCAGGCGTGCCAGGACGTTAGATGGAGCTTTGCCACACGGTTCACGTTGGCCCGAATGTCGACTGGCAGAAAGGAACCCTTCCGCTGAAGCCTTTAACGCTCTCCCGGTAGGACGTAGCTGAGTTTCCAGGGTTTCGCTTTTCTTTTACGCCACGGAGACTGGGGGCTCACACAAGGCCCCGGATCCAAAAAAGGAATCCTCCGTCCATCGCCAGCAAGGCAGAGACATTCGGCAGGAATCTAGCCGCTTTTTGGAGGGGAGAAAAATCAAAATGCGAGGCGAGGGGCTCGATAAAAACATGCTTCTCCCAGGACCATGCAGGAGCATGGAGACGACATTGCTAGACGTCAATGCATGCTCTTCCCTAGGGAGAACCATTCTTCAGAGCCCAGGGACAGCTGCGCCATGCTCTCCAGAAAGGAGGAAAAAATGGAGCGGGTCCTTTTCCTTCCCTGTCCCTCAGCAACCTTCCCCCGAGAGGCAGGGGCCAGGGCTGCAACCGGACACTCTCCACCCTTTTAGGGAAGGCAGCAAGTAGGGTTGCCAGGTGTCCAGTTTTGAACCGGACAGTCCAGTATTGGAGCTTTCTGTTGGGGAAACAAATAGAGAAAATATGAGAAAATAGAACAGTCGGGTATTTTCTCAATCCGATGCAACGTAGATTGTGATGGAATGTCAAGCGCGTCCGGTATTTTTGTTGAAACATCTGGCAGCCCTAGCAAGTAAAACCCACCGGGGCGGGGGGATGGGTTCTCCGAAACATCTGGGCATCTGTTACAAAAGGATCCAGGTCCTGGCTGAGCTGGGGAAGGCCCAGGAACCGCACAGGGAGGCGGGCGGTGGGCCGGGCGATCCCCACAGTGGCCCGCAGATGGCGCCATTGCGCAAGCCAGCCCTGCCTTGGAGAACACTGTGAACACAGGAGGGGAGGGAGGAAAAAAAAATCAGCTGTTAAAAAAACCCACCAATGTTTTAGGGGGAAAGCAGCAAACTGGCATCTCCCGCCTCCTGTGCTGCTTTGTCTGGCGCGAGCTGCTGCGTGCGATGGACTTTCTCTCCTCGCAGCTCTGCCCAGGACTGCCGGGGGAAGAGGAGAGCGGGATCTCTTGCGTTTCAGGCAATGCAACCGACCTGATCCCTGCGGTGGGTTTTTCTTGTTGGGTCCATTTTTAAAACATTTCAATGAGGCTCAACTTTCTGCGACTTGTTGCTTCGCCAGGGGGAACCCAGGCAGGGCCCAGCCTGGGACGGTAACAGCTGCGGCCCCGGGCGCTGCCTGCACCATGACATCTCCCAGGCCAGAGGGCCCGGGGTGTTAGTGACCGGTGGCCATGGCTCTCCGGCAGCCGGACTCTCCTGGTGAACAGTAGCCCTGGGCGGCACTCCCATGCTTGGCTCTACGTTGCCTGGCCGGGCACGCTCGCCACTCTGCAGATGCCTTTCTCGGCTGAAGAGAGGAGCCTTCAGGGGGTCTACAAGCCGACCTCTCCGCAGCAGGATGGCAGAGCCCTGGCGGCCAGCGGGGGACCCGTGTGCGCTGAGTGCTACACTAACCAGACCTTCGTCTTCGATGACGGCAGCTCCCACAGGTAGCCTCTGGCACACATCCTGCACCATGGTGGGGGGGTCAGACTACATGTCCCCTGCGGCCCCTTCCAAGCCCATAGTTCTATGTGGGGTCCCCCCTCTCCCTGCCTTCCTCCCACCCCATTTCCCTCCTGCTTTGGACCCTCGGGAGATGGGCGAGCAGTGAACCCGGGAAGCCACATCAGGACTCAGAGAGATCCTGCCAGCCCTAGAGCGAGCTCTCTGCTTCCCAGCCTCTTTGATACCAGGCACCGGCTTGCTGCCTGGCTACACGGCGGCGGGGAAATCCCTGGAGCGGTTGGGGAGAAACGCTGCCCGTAGCTCTCCGGCAGCACGGGGGACCGTCTTGGAGTGAGCCCCTCTCCAGCGTAAGGGGTTGGAGCCATGTTGTGTTTGTTTGGCTTGTTGTCTTTGAATCGGGGAGTTTTCTGAGCTAGACTCCTGCCTGTGGTCTTGCAAGAGGAGGCAAAAAAACCCTCTCCCCCAACCAGTAAGCATGTTCTGTGCAGCAACCTGCCCTAAGACATACGTGTCCAGGGGGACATGCTGGAAGCAGTAAGGGTTGTGTGTGTGTGTGTGTGTGTGTGTGTGTGTGTGTGTCTAACTGCTGCTTGGTTTCCAACCATTGCCCTGGGCTGTAAAAGTTGCCCCTATCCTCCTTTCTGCCTTAAGTGTTAATGTTGTGGAGGCATTGGTCACTGCCCCATGACCAGGGCTAGGTTGTTTTCCGCTTGTAACAGAGATTTGCCATTTTATGTTTATATATTAGACAAAAAGATGTGTGATTATATGTATCTAGCTGTCAGGATCCGCTGCAGAAGTGATCCTTCCCAGAGAACAGTCCAGAAAACACTTAAGGGTGAAAGGAGCGAGAGGAATGGAAAGCTGCCGTTAGCGATGAAAACGAGCAGTCCTGTGGCACCTTAGAGACTCACAAAAACATAGAATCATGAGCTTTCGTGGGCAAACCCACTTCCTCCGTTGAGTCGGAGTGTTGGCTTTGGGCATCCCCGTACTCACACTGAGAATCAGGGTGAAAGATCGAGATGTCGCCCTTGTTTTATTCCTCCGAGCCTCAGAATCAGTTGATTTTTAGTTGGGATTTGGGGTCTGGTAGCCCTTCGAATGAACTGAGCACTGTCCACGCGCACACAAACCAAGGGAGGCTAGAAGTACAGGTGAACCTCTCTAGTCCGGCACACTCGGGTCTGGCAACATCTGTGGTCTGGCATGATTTGAGTTAGCTGGATGTGCATTTTGCATGGATGTGGCCAAGTTTCCTGCGGTCCCATAAAGTTTGTTTACAGCCCCCAGTCCTGGTGCTCAATGATCTGTGCTGTTCTTTAGCTCCAGTGTAACCCCAAATACCCTCTAAGAGCCCAGTAAGCAGTGGGAGTGTTGCTAGACAATATCAGCCTCCCGTAGTTTGGCAAATTCTCTGGTTCAGATCCCGAGGGTGCCAAATCCTGCCCTCCATTATGTTCATGAACCCTTTTTGAAATGGGACGGGGGGAGGGGCAGAAAGCAGCAGCAGAGGCCTTCTGTGGGTTCAGCTGAGAGCAGGAATCGGTCCAGTGCTACGAAGGTCACAGATGATGTTACCAAAGGAATTGCCGCTGGTTACGTGGTAATCTCACCCTGTTCTCAGCCCTCGTGAAGAAGACCCCCACGAGCTGTAGATTTTGTGGGACACTGAGGCTGTGTCTAGACTACATGCCTCTGTCGGCAGAGGCATGTAGATTAGACAGATCAGCAAAGGCAAATGAAGCCGCGCTTTAAATGATCGCGGCTTCATTTACATTTACATGGCTGCCGCGCTGAGCCGACAAACAGCTGATCAGCTGTTTGTCGGCTCAGCGCGGCAGCCATGTAAATGTAAATGAAGCCGCGATCATTTAAAGCGCGGCTTCATTTGCCTTTGCTGATCTGTCTAATCTACATGCCTCTGCCGACAGAGGCATGTAGTCTAGACACAGCCTCAGTGTCCCACAAAATCTACAGCTCGTGGGGGTCTTCTTCACGAGGGCTGAGAACAGGGTGAGATTACCACGTAACCAGCGGCAATTCCTTTGGTAACATCATCTGTGACCTTCGTAGCACTGGACCGATTCCTGCTCTCAGCTGAACCCACAGAAGGCCTCTGCTGCTGCTTTCTGCCCCTCCCCCCGTCCCATTTCAAAAAGGGTTCATGAACATAATGGAGGGCAGGATTTGGCACCCTCGGGATCTGAACCAGAGAATTTGCCAAACTTGTTTGTAGGGGGGTAGTGCGTAAGAGCGCCACTCACAGATCAGCGGTACATACTCTGGGACAAATACGATCCTTCATTACACCTGTCACCGTCTTGCCTGCAGTTATCCCGCTGACCTCCAGGGGGCCGTGTACGTGTAAGCGGGGGCAGATTCGGGGCCAGTGCTACCAGTTAGCAACAGAGTTTCCGTCTTCGCTGTCAGCTCCGTGGCTTTTGTTGCCCTCAGAATGGGGGCATTGTTGGCCTCTGAATTCGATCTGAAAAGCAAACAAGAAAGGAAGGAGGGAGCTAGAACCCTCCGTAACAAACACATTGCAACCTGCTTCTATTGACGGAAAGAGGGGTTATTTTTTAAGGCCAGAATCGAGTTCACTGAAGTTAGTGAGGTGACGCTTTTTAACCCCACCCACCTCAGGATTTTAGCCATCCTGCGAACAGGGCCGCATTATGACTTTCGTGGGCCCTAGGCACTTTTGCCTTCGTGGGTCCCTTCCTCCATTAAAAAAAAATTATATTAAAAATTATTTTTGATATAACTTTAAATACTTCAACATTTTCTCTTTTAGGCAAAATTTAATAGATTTCCGTGGGCCCTAAAAGTTTCATTTTTTTTCTGATGTGAGGAAAAAAATAAGTTCATTTTTTTTCCTTCTGATTTTAAAAGAAATTAAAACATTTTCGTGGGCCCCTAAAAGTATCGTGGGCCCTAGGCACTGTGCCTACTGTGCCTAAGGGATAAGTCAGCCCTGCCTGCCAATGCTATGTAGGCAATTTGCATAACAAAGCATAGGAAACTCTTTTAGCTCCTTCTCGCAACATGCGCAGTGCGGTTTTATTCTTCTGGAGGTTCTTAGCTTAGATTCTAAGACTCTATGGACAGCCACTCCAGTGCTGAGCCAAGCTATTCTGGCAGCTGGCTACGTACAGATGAAGGTGGAAAGAATATCTAGGGATCCTTTCATGCTAACTCTGACTTTGGAGTCGTTACGGAGAACGTTGCTATTACCCGTGTGTGTTAGTCGATAGTGAAAGCTTTGGTCCATATTTTGAGTTAATGGCCTGGAGTACTTTAAACAACGGAACTGTTTGAGCTATAATAGAGGAAGAACACATGACCCACCGAGAAGCCGAAGGAACTTCCCTTTTGGGTTCATTCCCACAACTTAAGAGACAGGGCTGCCCTTAGGATTTATGGGCCCTTACGCCCCATGGCAGTAGGGTTGCCAGGTGTCCGGTTTTGAACCGGACAGTCCAGTATTTGAGCGTTTTGTTCGGGAAACAAATTGAGAAACTAGAACTGTCGGGTATTTTCTAACTCAGATGTAATGTAGATAGTGATGTAATGTCAAGTGTGTCCGGTATTTTTGTTGAAACCATCCAGCGACCCTACATGGCAGACCAATGGGAGGGGAATGACAATTTTCTGGAGATGTGGGGGTATTTTTTAATAATCTTCAGCCACACACTCACAGGGCCGGCCCGAGTCATTCTTGTGCCCTGGGCAGCGGGAGTGCGGCGCCGCGTCCCTAGGTGCACAGCGCACGCATGGCCGCACCCCCGAGCGGCAACCTTTGGGGACGTCATGCGTCCTTTACTACTTCAATCAGGCGCCCCCCCATAGGTTGGCGCCCCGGGCAGCTGCCCAGCTAGTCCCCCACTTAATCCGGCCCTGCACACTCATGACATATTTTTACAGGAAATTTGGAATGAATATCCTGTCAAATCACACAGGAAGTTCAGAAACAGACGGTGTAGACCTAAGGCTGGCAAACACCTGCGAAATGGCTTCGTTACCCCTGGAACGGCCCTTTCCCAGGGTCAGAGTTTTGCTCGTGGCTCTTGAGGGCTTTTTCAGGTTTAAGTTTCCCAGATCTTGTCTGGAGGAAGCAGAAGGGGGACAGGAAGAGGCGGCCATGCAGACCAGCCGGTGTTCCATATTCTGGGCGCCTTACGCAGCTGCGGTGTCTGCGTACGGGTAAGAGAACAGCAGCTGTTAAAATCCACGGAGGGAGGAAGAGACAGCTTTTTTGCCAAAGATTTCACGTGCCAGGTTTCGGTGTGGCGCAGTTTCTCTGTCAAGGTGTAAGGTGGTGGAAGGCGGGGGTGGAAGGAAAGGTAAATCCCATTTGACGTTGGCACCGTTAGAAGGGGTGACTCTGCGTGCGTAGTCGTAAATATGTTCGCTGGAATGGAGGCGTGTTCTAGGCGCATTTTACCGTTTCCTCTTAGATCCATTCTGGGCTCGTTGATACAGGTGGGACCTCCCTGGTCCAGCAGGGACCTGACTGGTTCTGAAACAAGGGAATTTGCTGGACCAGGGGAGGTAAATTCCGTCCCCACCCCCCACCTTCCCAGCTCTGCTCCTGGCCCAGCTACCATCGCCCCCCTGGCTGCCACCCCTTGGACTAGCTACTGCCGCCTGCCCTGGCCAGGATCCTGTCCCTGGTGCCCGCCCTGGCCAGGATCCCGGTCCCGGCATGCCTTCCAGCTGCCGGTCTTCCAGCCACCAGGGATCTCTGGCCCTGGAACAACCATGGTCTGGCAGGACCACAGATATTGGGAGTCGAGTCCCAGTTTTTAGAGATTCAACCTGTACAAGTGTTTTCTAGCATTGCTATTCAAACTGTCACGTGCTCATCGGGTGACAGGTTAATTAGGCAGATTAAGCATGCATATAAAGCCATTCTAATTGGACAAGAAGTCTGGAGGTGGTGCGCCTCCCGGTTTATCAGAGAGTTCTTTATATCCAC